GACATCCCTGGCAGGAAACCATGCTGCTCTCTTGGTAAGAGGTTACATTTAAATAACCAAGAGAGACTCCTCAAATACCTTTTTCCATGACTTTGACAGGCGTAGACGTGATACTGATTGGACGAAAGTCAAACACAGAACGGGCACCAACCTTTTTAGGAATTGGCAAGAGCATCTTTCTAAATCTTAGAAACTTCACCCAGCATGAGGGGGGTTGGAAGTGGAGCAGCACACTTCTTGAAAACAATAGGAGGTATGCGATCATATGACTCAGATGTTGAAGATTTCAGTTTTTTCGAAATTTTGAAAATTTCCAAAGGATGGAAGTAGATATTGTCCAAGCCAGAAGAGGCAGGTCTAATTAGCACAGAGTCATATGAAGAGTCATTGAGATTAGGAATACTGTTGAAAACACTAACAAAAAAGTCACCAAGAGCCTTATGATAAAGTTATGAGTGATAAGAAATCAGTGCACCGTTCAATAATAGCTCTTTATATGATGAATGCTACATATTTGTTGTGAGCTTGATTGATTTCTCGTCAGGTCTTCATGATAAGCAGTGAGCATATAGCGTTTTCCTTGCTATCGTAGGGGTTTGGGTTCAATGCATGCTCATTGTGAAATTGTCATTCGCGCCTCACTTATCGTTCGTTCTCATCACCCATCTTTAAAATATCTCTAACTGGGGTTCCTTGGTTTGGAGTGCTGAAATTGTTTTGAACGAGACTAGTCGAATGCAACTTAGAATGAAATTCTCGCTTATGATCCTAAGAATTAAATCGACATGGAACACGTTTAAAATGAATAGTTGGTCATAAGAAGGAAGTTTAACAAAATGAAACGCTTACCACTTTGTTAGATGGTCCATCCCAAAACCTCAATTTTGAAGAACCAAAAATTTTTTGTTTTCGAACGTACAAAGCGTTTTTAGTGCGATCTTTCCGTCGAAAGTAAGGCAAAAAGCGAACAAAGCCAGTTTTGTGGTTGGTCTAGGAAGGCATTGTATTTCTCGTCGAAATTTAGCTCGTGAGAGCAACTCGTTATTGTCTCATTCACCGATGAGCGGAGGTAATAATGCGGATGACTTGAAGCCAAGTTCAAGTGGTTCTAGTTTGCTTATTAGTAGGAGATAAGAAAATCAATAAGAAGGTGTATGATTTGGAGCAGCAGTCATCATGATGGAGTATTAATCGTCGAATATCGGTTGTACTGTAAGGGTGCGCAACGAAATGTGTGCATGACTGCTGTATCATGCGGAGTAGGTAAAGAATCGCAATCACGATGGACGGTAAAATAGAAGTAACTGTGAGTCAATACGCTAGTGATATAAGGTTAAAAATGGATTGATAGGGAAGGTAAGATTTACTCACTTCTGAAGCGCGCTGCCCTGCCAATCACGTGAATTAAGCACACACGGCTACTCGGATGTATTAAGTGTTATTACGATGATATTGATGAAAAACAAATATACGATCGATGTGATAACGAGAAAATCGCGAGGTTATCACAGGTCGAATCGAAATTAATCATAAAATGTAGGCGGCAACACTAATGTCGGTAACTTCCAAGTACGGCTTTCTATGAACCTCGGCATAACTGTATAGTTGAGTTTGTTTTTCTGAACTCTTCACAAGGTTCGTAAACAAGCTTTATTAGGCTGACTTTTCGGCCTTCTTCAGAGCCTGAAAGATCATAACAATCTGTGACTATCCGACCGAACGTCTCCACCAACGCACCGAAGTCCGAGACCCCCAGGGCACGCAAGTGATCGAAAGGAGAGGATTCACCGTAGCTTCATGGAATCTTCGAAACCACCCAGCAAGTGATGGTACCAACCGACCAGTGTCAGCTGGGGTAAATCCTCATTGAAAGTCACTGCGGGAAGGCCAATCTTATATAAGGCAGCAGCTCCCGCGTGATTGCGAGACATACTTCCCTACGATTCATTTTTGGATCAGTGACTTGTATCCAAAATACCTCGAGGGTTTTGCGCGCGCACAATTCCGACTCCTGTGCTACGATCTCCATGGTAACTTCAAAACCGCCTTCGTTATGCTTTCGAATTCGGTGAATCTCTAAAGCAGTAAACTCTCTCAATCGTCTAATACCATTTATGTGCTCCTTAACCCTCAAGTGGAGTGGTCTTGCAGTCTCGCCAATATATTCACCACAATCACGGCAAGTAATTTTGTAGACCACTCCAGACATGTTACAATCACCTACCCTTCCAGTTGGACAAACCACACAATTTGAGGTTGTATATAGGCGATCGTATAGCCTGTTACGAATCAGGCGCTTCTTTAGATTGAAGGGGCACGTTTACAATAGCAACTAAATTCTCCAAACCCGATCTCTGTCTCGACCACCTGCGTGCCCTGGTGGTCTCAAACTTAGCGGGTTGGTGGAGACGTTTGATCGGATAGTCACAAATCGTTATGACCCTTTCAGGCTCTGGAGAAGGCGATTCAGCCGAAAGGCCAGCCTAATAAAGGTTATTTAAAACCTTGCGAAGCGTTCAAGACAACAACAAACTCAGTAATGAATTGGTTCTTCAAGCGGAGTGAATGAAGCATAACTATCTAATATTGTTGTTGTGATGGACCTAAACTCTTCTTGGCCTTTTCAGATGTTGCTGGTTTCGCAGTGAAGTCGATGTTTGTGTTGGCCACTTGTCTGGTAGGCTAGTTATGTGTTTCGGCCCATGCCACCACATATAATTTGTTAACTCTGAGACTGTTGGGCCCCCGGTAGCACAGTCTGCAGGGTTATCTTCTGTATTACCGCAGTGGAACTTAAATTAAATCTTCGCGTCAACAAGTTCTGTCTAGTACCCTGAGCTTGACCCTGCTGTTGGCGAAGGTTTTTAGTTTTCTATTCGAGTGTATCCAGTACAAGGCTATTTCAGAGTTCGAAAGACTTTGCACTGGCTCAAGTATAATCTTGAGCTGACTTCAAAGGAATCGTACTAATTTTGCCGCCAAGAATATACCAAGAAGTTTTAATCCTGGGATGGAGGTTTTCTTCCATTCTGCCAACTTTGCCTTGGCGAAGATAAAGCTGCTAGAGTGCTCCCTTTTTGTTGTTCGACATACCAAGTATGCAACAGCGGTGTAAACCCTTCGCGGTGCATTGGAGAAAATAACCAAGTCGTATGTGTTTCTTTGTGACAGTAATAAACCTCTGTATGTTCCTCAAAAAACCCTAGAGATCTTCTGTAATTACCTTCCATTTTTTTATAGTAGCTAGGTCGAGCTGGTCATCCCATGATTACTTCTTGATCCACAGGCCTTTTATGAACATTTTTGCTCTGATGAATAATGGAATAAGAAGACCTAGTGAATCAAATTTTGATGCAAATGTCTTCAGTGCACTACGTTTTGTAATAAACTTTTTGTGATTGACTTCATGAGTACGTTTAATGTGTCTCCCTGCGTATTCCATCTCAATACCAATAGCTTCATTGCATTAGAAGTCGGCTTCACTCGGTCTTTCAATGGAGTAGACTTTAACACGTGTTCATCATTTGACATGAGTTCGCGAAGTTTCATGCCCGTCTTAGAGAGTACTTTCTTGCACCTGGGAAGACCCTCGTCGACTGTTTCGGCACCTATCAAAACATTGTCAACGTAGGTGTTTGCGATGATCTCTTCTTGGAGCTGGTTCCTACCTTCTCTCTCCAGTGCATACTTTATGGACATACTTAATATAAGTGGAGATGCATTCTTGCCAAATGAAATACGTGTGAATCGAAGGATACGTATGTTGTTTCTTGTTGGGTATTTTGTCGTATCTTTCAGCCACAAAGAGCGCGTGGCGTCTCTCTGGTCTTCTTGTAATCTTATTTGATGAAATGCGTTCTCCACGTCCGCTATCATTAGTTTTGGTATTAGCCGTACTCGCAATAGCGTGCCACAAAAATCTGTCAATAGAGTTGGTCCTTGGTGCACACAGTCATTCAAACTGGGTACATCTCTCATCAGGCTCGACGCGTCGAATACGACGCGCAATTTTGCGGTGGCACTGTCTTCCTTGAATACCGCTTGATATGGAATGCAATACACCCATTTTCCGTGGGCCAACGATCGTTGACTTCTTTTATTATCCCCGACTGAAGTTGCTGATCAAAGGTCTTGCATTACTCTTCCCATACTTTTGTAATATGGTTGAGCTTTTTGTATTGATTCTTTAGCCTCCGTATCGCAAGAGCTTTGTTGTCAGCAAGGTGAGGATGATCTGTCTTCCGCGGAAATTGGGCGTATGTGAAGCCATCTTTCATTTGTACTGTGTTATAGTAATGTTGTATTACACTTGCATTGGTCTCATCAGCTTCATCTTCTCTCTAGAGAGATTCTAAACCGAGTAGGTATTATATTATGCGATTTGTTTCATTGATTCGCGGTATTCTTCTACAGAATTGGTCTTCGCAGTACTTTGTGTTGATGAGGTAGACGTCTGGCAACCCGACAAAACTGGACCGAGTTTTGTCCTAGACTCAACGAGGGAAGTTGACTGCTCGAATTGAAATCCATTACATCCCAATGGTAGTCCATCCCAATAAGAACGTCAACTTCCATTTCCATTGTCTTTTGTTTTTTGTGACGCCCGACGAGCCGTTTACCTTCGTTGGTTGACATCTCTGCTGTAGTAATAAATATGCGTGTCCACATGTAGAGTTCAGTCGGTGTACTGTGGGACTCGTTTTGGAGTATAGTCTTAGCACGATAGAAGTTCTCCATGTGCTGAGGTCCTCCAAATGTTTGCATTGTAATATTTTGTGGATTCCTTACTTTCAATTTTCATTTTATTTTGATTTTTTGCAGTATTTTTCTTGATACAGCTGTGTTGAGAACCGCTATCCAATAGTAGTGTGAGAAGCTGTTCGGATTTTGTCTTTTTATTGATTGTTAGTGCTTGCACCACCATAAGAGAGGTGAATTAAGCATGGATCTTATCTTACCTTTTGAACTATGCTGATGTCTTCTACTTATTGTGCTAGTGAATGGTAAGTGATGTCACATACAAGAACCATTACATATCATCTGACACTACCTATAATGAAAATAGAGGATGGACTTTCGTATTCCTCTCACGGCGCGAAGTTTAACATAGCTCCACCAATGTAAATCAGTACACGCAGATGTAACGCACCGAAACATAGCAGAAATCGATAGGAACTTTCTGCGCTTGTGAGTCTTTTAGGTTTCTCTTCTGGAGGAACGTGCATTTCACGCGCGACCTTACGAGATTTCTTCGCGCACGCCGTGCGTGACAACCTGTGCAGCAAATTACTTCGCGATTCCGATGTGGCCGCTACCGTGGCATTCATCTGAGACAGGCCAAGCGAGTTTCGCAGGTGTTTCTGTCTTTACCATGAATTTGTGCAAACTTCTTTTCGATGGCGATGAAACATCTTGGAGATTAAGGATCCACTCCACAGAAGAACAATTTATTTGCCAAACGATGTAAATAAAAAAAGCTACAGATGTGTCGATCCTAATAAACGCAATCCCAATAAACACGTGCATAGTTGGTCATTTTTTTACTTGTCTTCTTTAGATTCCTATTTTTCCTAATATGATGGTTGGTATGACAATGTAGCGCGTCACGTCCACGACACCTCACCGCCTCAGACACTACCCTTCACGCGAGACGACCTCATTATCTCCACTAGATCGCACCACACCCCTTTTTTGTGATGCTTCTTGAGGCGCCTCTGTTTTATCTAACATCCTTGCGCTGCACAATTAATGTGGACGGCGCTTGAACATGAAGTAATGCAACTGAGTTGGATCGCAAAAAGCTTCGCGTTATCGGTAGAGTGGCCCCATCTCACTTGTTCTTCCACCAAATGAACGCGACCACTGAGACAGATCCTGGCTGCTGGTGCTGGTGCTCTGCGGCTGTGGGATTCAATGATGGCAGTTCTCGAACAACAATCCTTTTCAGTCTGCGCCACAGTACACAGATTGTTTGGGGTTTTAAGTAATTCTACCAATAATACCGATGGTTTACAGCAGACTACGTTCCTGCCGCTATCTCCAATAATTCACTCGCTTGGTCATGGTTGCTGCGCTTTTTTGAGCTAATTACTAGTCGCGTATCTATCAATTAGAGCTAATTTTTAGTCACGTATCTATCATTTACTAAATTCTAGTCATGTATCACTTGGAAAAGTTCCTTAAGAAGGAGTGCTAATTCTGCTTTGCAGACAGAACCGCCACCACCGAAATGGAACACCGATAATCGAACTAGTGGAGGGCACGGTGGTCATCACAAGGTTCAATCAAAAACGGAATGGCGTTTTGCAATTCCTGAGGCGGAAAGTGAAGAGGAAGGTTCTTCTTCAAAGAAATCGACGAGCACCGCACCACTCACAATTACAACAGAACAACCAAAAATGAGGGGAGACGTTACAGTAAGCGATCTTATTACGAGTTTTTTGACTCCGTCCAATCGGTAGCCCAATATCTTTCCCTATCTCATCAATAAAAGGATAAAGGATAAAGTTTTTGGCGTTAATCAATCCCGTCTGAGGGGTGCGTCCCCGAACTCGACTTCCATTCAGAATCGTAGTGGCGTGATGAGTGCGTACGTGGCCTATACAATGACTTGCGGTGGCCAGCCGATGTACAAGTCAGTGCTTTTTCTTTTTCGAACCCCTGACCGTGCGTCTGATATAGTGCGCCACTTGCCACTACACCATCTCCGCCCTTATCTCAACAATATATATTCATAATAGGCCAACTGACCTGTAAGGTATGTGTATTCAACAAACCCCTCAAAGTTCAACTTTTCTACATAGATACCTTTCTCTCATTTCTCTATAAACAAATCCTCTTCGTTTTAGCTTCTTTTTCCGTCTTCGCTTTTTTATCTTCTGCTCACACCTTGTCGACGTTCCGTACTCCTACCAAGTTTGTAACTCCTTATGATTGGACGTTACCCGTGATTCGTTTCTCCAATTTTGGAAGACTGAGAAGAGATAGCCAGACCAGCAGTGCCGTTGCCCTTGTTAGCTAGACCAAATTATTGAGAAGTTTGCAAGGGCCCAGGGTTCTAGTGAAATAGCGTTCCAAACCGAGACTCTGCCGATACATTCTAAGCGCGAGTCTGCAGTTAACACGAATCTCCCCTCCCTTCCACCTTCTTTCCTACACCTAACCCTCCCACTTTTCCGGTGGTGGGCATAGTCAGTCGATTTTATCTCAAGGTCAAGAACTTGCGAGAATCACGTCCCCAGACAAAATTTCATCTCTTCAATCCGGATGGGAAATCAAAATTGAACTGGATATTTTTACATGGGCAAATTTCCACTTCAAACCTTTACAACAATTATTAGAGTGCAAAGTAGAAGTTATTGTAAGGAACGCAGCAAGAAATGGACCTTGTCTGTTTTTTACTTTGATTCTCTTTTTGACTGTTCATATGTCAGTGCCCACACATTCGGACCGTTCCTTTTCATCGCCTTTATCGGAAGAGAAGTTATCCATATTATACAGTAGGGCTCGAAAGTCTTCAGTGAAATGGTTCCTCAGCCGTACTTTTCAGTCGTAACTCCTTTCCTACTAGATCTAATCTTGCAAAATTTCTTATTTGGAGCGTGAGTGGATTGTGAAATTTACCACTATTCACTTGCAGTCTGATCGTGTTCCAGATATTCCTAAGAGCATGAACTCAGAATCGACTGAAAATACATACGATGGTCCTCCTAGAATCTCTTTCCTTTTTGTCATGTCTGAAGTGTACGAGCGGTAATGCCGAACACAATAGATGAGAAAAACGCACATAAGGTGCGAATAAGTGCAGACGTCAACAACTTTAGTTTTAGCAAGATCTGCTACCGCAACAAACACCTTGCTCTATCTGTGGATATTGCACCTTCGCAGTCAAATAGTGTTGGGTAGGGTGAAATACTGGTGGCTCTGATTAAACATATCCAAATTCCGCGCGATCTGGTTCCCCAAGAAAAAAGTTGTAAAAGAAAAAGAGTCAAAGCATTCCACCGATAACTTTTGAGCGCTACTGTATGTACTTGGTAAAAACTATACTCAGGATTTATGAATTGAGAGATCGAATAAAACCTCGCTTTTGTCATAGAGCTTCTGTGGGGAGCAGTGAGTCCCAGCAGAAATAAAAACTGGATAAAACGGTTTATCCAAAACATGACATGAATGCGTCATCACATTCTTCGATGGAGCACTTCGTCAGATTTTTTTTATTTGTATGGTGAATCGTATTGGGAAAGGCAATAGTTGCTGCGAGTGAATTTTCATGTGGACTTTTTTTTATGTGGCATATGGTTAAAAAATAAACGATGTTTTAGAAAACGTATGCGAATAGGAATATACCTGAGACCGACGGCTTGAACGAGCGTGAGTTCGACAAGATCGTCGAATTAAAGTTGGTGTGTTAGAACTTCGAAGATTTTTTTGAACATCCAGGTCAGTAGTCGCGTATGATTGTCTGCGGAAGTTCTTGATTTCTTTTAGATGATCATACTAAGTAATTATGGACACCTATTATGGAGGACCTATTTATTCATAGTAGCTATGGAGTGGATCAACTTGAATAGGTCTACTCCATAGGTACTATGTATAGATAATAATCCTATCTGCTATGAAAGGAGGGAAACGTCATGGTAGATTGCTCATCAAAAGCTGTTCTATAACATTTCTGAAACACCTCTAGTTCTTCTCGAAATCTTCTTTTAGAGCTACACTATTTCACCGCCATTCGAACTTTAGAGAATAACAAACCCCATAAATTTCATGACCTTCAATTGTGCCTGACCAAAGCAGGATGCTTTCATCAGGAGGGAAATGGATATATTCTATGCCCGTAATTCGAAAGAAGATTGTGCATACTCCTCACAGTAATTAATGGCAATCGAGTTACAAGTCAAGTCCCTTCACGATATCGTCGTGGTTACCGTTTTTCGTTTTGCCCGATGAAAAGATGGCAATCGAAACAACCTCCATTCCCCGTCGTTCCTTCCCACATTCTATGCTGGTATTTGTCGAGACGTCCAGTCTTGAGAACCGAAAACCATTTGCTTTCGAAGCACCATGAGCTGTATTGCACCGCTACTTTGCGCGTTCTGCTCAACCCTAACTCCAAGATCACCGATCAAATTAAGGAATAATAGCTATGATTGCTTACCGTAAGGGCACTACTGACCATGACGTAAAATGGAAACATCTGCAGAGATAGCACGGCTCGCGGCAAAGAGCTCCCCGAAATTGGTAGTACCAGTGAAGTATGAAGCCTCCAATTTTGAGAATACGTGAAGGTTTTCAGCTCAACCCTGCTTGAGTCCAGTAGTTTTGTATGTGAGTCAAAGTGAAGACCTTGATGTTCCTGTCATGAGAGTTGGTTTCCACAGTTTTGGGGTGTGGGAACTTTGTTACGATTGAGATAAATTTAGGTGCACCGAGATCACTTCGCGTCTAGGTGCGAAGTGACCTCAGTCGTAACTAACCTTATCTCAATTACGCGTCTTCCCTCGATCGTACCTAACCTCATCTTAGTTACGGGAGTGATGGCGAATGTTGAATACTCAAGTTAGGGTTATCAGTGGAACATACAGTGTGGCGTCGTATAGGAAAGAATCTCCAAGGATATTATCATTCACGCAATGTCAGTATAGAGAACCCTCTATAAAAATGACTGCATGCATGTTATCAAATGATTCCGACCTATTTGTTATATAGTATTGTTTAAAATGATCTGGCTAATTGTCATGTTTCTCGTATCACTGCAGTACAAAAGAGTGATGCAGTGGAGTAGAGTTCAATTGAACAGTGCATTCGTCCCTGCATTGTGGTCTTGTCGCCAATGCAATAAATATAAGAAGTCCCGCGTGACAGCAGTACTACAACAACACACACAAGACTCGGACACATTACATGGTGCATCGGCCGCTATACATTCCGGAGAGAAGAAACGAAGACAAGTGAGTAAACCATTGAAAATTCGATTAGCGGCTTTCACTTTCTCTCGACCTTGAAGATGAGTTCTCTAATCACAGTAAGACAAGGTGATCTAATGAGGGCACAAAACCGTCTCGCAGGGGTCTTAGAGTCACACTCTGGTCTGCTCAGCTTCAACCAGGAAACCCGCGATATCATCGAGGTGCAAAAGCTGATCAGAAAGGCGAAAGCATCGACGCCACTGGAGGTACAGAAGGTCGAAGAAGCGATGGACCGGTACGCCCAAGCAATCGACAGCGCCGACGAGTCTCATTCAAGATCGGACATTTTCAATCGGGCACAGGCTCACATTGACGCCGCCCAGAGACTCCTGGATGATGCGCATAACAATTTGAGGAGGCTCACGGAGCTGCAATAGGATCTGATCGATTTGGAAAACACAAGAAACACATCTTCGTGGCAGTCTGGAATCACACTCCGCTAACACCAATACCCAAATTCGATGGAGACATTTGGAATTGGGAGCCCTTTTGCCAATGTTTTGAGCATAGTGTGCATTCCAGGGATATCGAGGACATGTACAAGATGAGCTATCTCCTCAAAGCGTTACAGGGAGCAGCCAAAGAATCAGTAAAGCATTTTCGAGTCGCCGGTCACACATATCCTCTAAGAGTGCATGTCGTTTGGCGCGATGGGCGGGGTCGCGCCGCCCATTTGAGGCGGTTCACGGAGTGAACAACTCGTCCACATCGGGCAACTCTCTGTCTATTCTCTCCAGCTTATAGAAGTGTGATCAACGGCGCCGCTACTATTAGACGCCGAATTGCGGACCTGCTTGTGTTCTGCCTACATACATCATCCATTTGGCGTTTTCGGACAGTATCCATGGAGAAAGGCGAGAAGAAGCAGTAAAAATCATGCAAAAGCGCAAATGGGTGATGTATTTAGGTAGAATACAAGCAGACCCGCAATTCTGCGTTTAATAGTAGCGGCGTCAATGATCGCGCTTCTATCAGATGGAGAGGACAGACTGAGGGTTGCCCGATGTGCATGAGTTGCTTACCCCGCAAACCGCCTCAAATGGGCGGCGCGACCCCGCCCATTGCGCCAGACGACCGCCTCCTTCCTCTGGTCATCGCGCTTCTGAAAAGGGAGTATGGCGACGCGCAGGCATTGGTAGGACGACTACTGGGAAAGCTGCAGTCGATCGAGTCAGTAACCGACAACCTCAGAGATTAGGAAACCCTATGCAAACAATTTACCTCCATTATGTCACAACTGAGTGTTCACAGAGAACATATCATAGCACATTTCTGCAACTTTTTAGGAAGTTTTCCGTAGACGTTCAAAGGCAGATTCTCCGTCAGAAAGCAAAATTCCAAGCGGAAGGGACATGGAACACTATGACCCGCTTGAAAACCGCGAAAGGGTTTGTAGAGGCTGAACCAGGGATCATAAATCAAGTCGAGCGGAACATATCCAGTAACAAAGGGGACCATACAAATGACGTGATAGAAGGAAAGAGTAGTGTGACGAAAGGCAAACCAGCGAGGCCTCAGCATTCGGAGCTTTGTTTTTATTGTACAAAAACAAGATATACTGCGAGAAACTGCACTGAAGTCCCCACGCTTGAACAGCGTCTCGAGATCATGAGGAAGCAAAAACTGTGCCGTAATTGCGGCCAATAAGATCACACAGCAGCAACATACTGCAAAGGAGCTTGCAGAATGTACGGGGTCATTGGACACCACACCTCAATTCTAAAACTCTCCTTCCAAACAAACCTTCTCAAACGCCCCGAAACCCAAAAAAGCAAGCAACAAAGAGCCCACAACGCACACCCTTAAAGTTGTCAAATATCAGCACTTTGGATTCCAAACGAGGCTTGTGCTCAAATGAAGATAACGTACTCCACTTCAACAACCACGAAAACGATATGACCCTAGCAGGAGTGGCTAAAGTGCACAACCTAACCACGGGAACATTCGAACCTGTCCACATCATGTTTGATTCAGGCGCCAATAGATTATCAATAAGCAACACACTTGCAAAGAGATTGCACCTCAGAAATATTGAGTCCGTAAGGCTCAATATCATCATTTTCGCTCAGAGCAGCCAATATTAAAATTATGTGGTGTCACAACAGTTCAACTGTGGGACGCTAATGGCATACAATACACATTCAAAGTCAGAAGGATCGACACAATCACACAGTCACAGCAACGGAATCGCCTCAGCCTCGAGAAGAAACGGTTTCTCTTAAAAATGAACTGAAACTCTCCATAACCCCAATATGACGAGCATCTGAACATAAATTCTTCTGAGCTGCACCAACCTCTTTTCTCTTCTGGACCACGGCATGGCGCCACAGCACACATCACCATCAGGGTATCGACTTATTTCGTCCAAGCTTGGTTATCTGGCAGCAGGACACAACAGCGATTTCTCTACGGCAATCAACACGGACGAGAAGAAAATGACGATGCACACTCTAAAAAAAGTGGAACCTGAAGCGACAGCGCAATCGACTTTTGTACGTTCGAATCATCTGGAGTGGGCAAATTCAGTGGCTTGAAGACAGAGGATGCCGGAGAACAGACCACGCTGTTTCTGGTTACAATATTCTTGTGTCGTTCGAGGTTCTTAGGTGGAATATTTATTAATCACGACGGCCTAACGTCTCGACGCTCTCGTCTTCTTCATAGGCCTAAAGCAACTCGAGACCACTTGCACAGTATCCTAAAAGCGCATTGCCTCCTGGCGAATGTTACGGCGAATTCAAAACCCATAATTCGAGACATAACTTACCAAGGCTCCAACGCTCCAGCGGATATAAAATCCGCTGGAGCGTTGGAGCCTTGGTAAGTTATGTCTCGAGCAGTATGTCAGTAGCAGACGAGACTTATTGGCTGTCTCCCTTATACATACTTATGATACTTGTGATAAGGAATATCACGTTATAATGCTACTGAGTCACAAGCGCAGCGCGGTATATACGGCAAAAGATAGTTGTTTATGGACGGACACTCATCTCTATCATTCATTTCAGAATTTCTTTGGGAAATCCAGAACGCATCTAATGCCTTTCGCGCTAAAATCTCCGTCCCCTGCGCCAATATCGTGCACTTAACTTCAAGGTTGTTGCCGTAATGCTCCTCAATTTTATGCCTACCGAGCGCCGTTATCAGGCTGCCACGCCTCATACTAGCCTCATACTAGTCGTATAGCTGGCGGTCCTCCCGTTTCTCTAATGTTTTTGACCCACATGTCCGGCATTCTATCTGGTAGATCGCCTATCAGTGCGCAATCACCTGTTTTTCCGTAATGACATATGATGCAATCTTTCGTTATCACTGCTTGTCGTAGAGCCTATTCCGAACTAATAGCTGCTTGATATTGTTATCAGGAATACTCACTAATTGTACAACATCTTTAAGCCCAGCTCTGAAAATGCTCTGCTGTATAGCATTGCTAACTTTATCGGAGATGAAGGGAAGATATGTATAGTGGTAACTTCTTTTGGGGCGTAGTACGCTGCGTACTAGTGCGAGATTTTCTATAACCTTGTGACACCATGTAACCGTACACAGCAGCTATTTCACAAACTGAACGTCAGGATTCGAGTCGTTCAGCTTTACCCCTGCAGACACTTGTTGCTGTTCTCAACATGTTGCTGGCGACTGCACGTTTAATGGCTTGTGGATGAGCTGAGGTAGCGTGAAGTAAGATATTCTTAGAACTGGTTTTACGGTACCACTTCCCACTAACAACGCCACTGGATACTTTGATCTGAGTGTTGAGGTAAGGGAGCCAACCATCACGTGAAACTTCTCGGGTGAGTTTAATGTACCGAGACTGTTCATACATGATACAAAAACACTCGTCTATTTCAAATTGTGTTGACTTTACGATGAAACAGTCATCGATATATCTACAGTACATTAAAGGACTCTGTTCTAGAACCGGCTATTCGATTCAAGACCTATGACTTGAGAATAGTACTTTCCTGCCGATTCGAAGGTGTTAGGTGATCAGTACCAGACTCCTACTTGAGGGGAAATCATGGCTGGCCACGGAAATTTATCGCTCGCGCCACATACGCCACTACGATTCTGCATTAAAGTCGAATACAATATGCCACTAAGTCGTGGCCAACCGACAGCTTGCGACGGATTAATCCGATGGAAACCGTCGGTCACCATAACTTTCGTTAGTGTCCTCCAATCAAGTAGAGATAGATGGTATTAGTAGCAGATAAAAGTAAGATCACTGAGAGCTCTGCTCATGAAGAATTTATACATAAAATTGATTTTTGTCTTTCTCCAATATTTCGTTTTCATTTCCATGTAAAATGAAGAATTCTCATTACCTAGGGTGTTGACTGTGGATATGTTAGCATCTTAAACCCCCCCCCCCCACTTCATTTTGAAGCTTCGTTTTCGGCTTTTGAGTTTTATGGATGACACCATATTCGAAGAGAGCATAGAGTCCGGGGGGCGCGCGATTCACGCGTGACCGCATTAGAGCTCATCGTGGAGCTCTTTGCGCACGCAGCATCGTTTCAGTAACTTTCTGTTGAGATGGTCCAAATAAATTTGCAGTAGTCGACGGCTTCACCGTGAATAGAGCAAATCTCTTCACTATGGCAAAAAAGCCCCTTCGAGATTGAAAATTCACCTCAAAGGTCAGCAATTTACTTGTCAAACGTTCAATATAGGAATAACTTCAAATTCTTTGATCCTAGAAGATGCAATCCTTCTGTAAACGTGCATAGTTGGTCATTTCTTCACTTATTTTACTTATAAGTCCTTATTTTTTCCGGTATGATGGTGCTCATGATGTTTTAGAGCGTTTTGTACGATGACCTCATTATATAGGTGCGTGAATCACACCACACCCTAGAGTCCTGGTCATTTTGATATCCTTCGTCCCACAAATTAAACTTCTTCAGCTAAATCTAGTGGTTTGAACAACCAGTTCTTCAGACATTTGCTATTTCTAGCCATCTGCCCAAATGACATACCAATTGATAGCCCTGCTTATGGATAATCCACAATGATACATATATACATATACAATAACATATACAATACTTTTTGATTTTCTCCTCAGTTTCGTAGCTCCATTTTGAATGAAATGAAACCTGAGTCTTCAAGATCTGAGGTGTTGCCTGCAAATATAACATCACCGAGAAGTCTCCTTTTGATTGGTAGATTATCATTTCTTGAAAGCCACAAACAGCTCTTTATTGAAGAGGAGGATCATGAGCTTGTTTATTTCGATATCCTTCATGCCAAAATTCAAAGTTTCAGCTAAAAACTGCGATTTCGAATACCGATCTTTAATGTGCACCAATTGTAACTTATAGAGGAATTTGGAGTGGAGAAAGCTTGTTGACTACATGGCTATGACGTAGTTTGTATGCGATTCTTATATCATATGATTCAATTCTGTGAGTGAGTTCAGAACTACTCTGTTTCTATGTAATGCTCCGTTTGAAAGAATTAGCATTTTCCTGGAAAACTGATAATTTGAAGCGGCTGAAAGTGCAGGAAGCACATGAAAATCCATCATGTATTCGATTTTCCTATTAATAGATTTCTTTATTGGTCTTTCACTCAAAATATATGACTGAAAGAGGTCGTGAATTATTGGAAAGTTGATGAATTGAAACACTGTTTCCAGCTAAATTTATTAAAATTTTGTCATTATGGGTTTCAAAATAATCACGTTTTCATGCTCTTCTAGATAATAGGCCGTACATATTTTTCAGACACTGGAAGCGCAGTTTCTAATTGAAGTAGGAGGTTAACGATGCTATTATATCCGCGAGTAACACTCTATAAGCTAAAAACTCAATTTTTATCCTCCTGAAAATGAAGGGGAGGACTTTAAGAAAATCAGAAGTTTTCTATATCTCTGAATTCTCCGCCAGCAGAGCTTTTAGCTGATCTTACCCTCAACTCGAACGGAGAACTTTCACAAAAGTTACCGCAAAGCGACGGTTTGCGACGGATCAATCTGTTTCAAACCGTCGGTTGACCACGAATCAGTAGCAGTGTTGTATGAAAGGCATCCAAAAGAACGGGATCGAACAACGTCAAGACACTCGATCCTTCGAATTTCCATCAGAGACGTAAATTTTTCTTACTGCGGCAATTGTTGAGTGTTAGTTGTTAAGCCATAACAAAAGTTTACAGTTTATTTCGTTGAGGCAGTTTAATTTCGTGTTCTTTTGATTGAGGCAAAAATAGGAGAGTGTACGAGCACCAATGACGTCAGTCAGATGAGCCACTGAAAGACAGAATTGGACGTTAGCGGCTTTTATGATCAATATCGTTTCAGCCAGATGACTTTGTTGGCGATCCGTCGGAATTTGTTCCACCTCAGAATGCTGAGCATATGTTCGTGACTTTTGTTGTTCTGAAAAAGTGGAATCCATTCTCCTCACAATTTTAACATGACGATGCAACGTGGTTTTGGTTCTTGCAGAGATGTACGCTACCCGTCACGTCTTCCTGGTGTTCAAAGTTTAAAGTATGGCACGAAGAGAAAGAAGTTGGAAAAAGTCGAAACTTCCACAACTACAACAACAACCACCACTGCTACCACCTCGACAGTTGTAATCGTTGGCATCCTTTCAAATGTTGAAGAATTTGTTCAATGTCAACGTTTTCTAGACAACCACAGATTCGGATTCTTCTAGTGAAAGCGAAGAAGAGTCAGTACTAGCTTATCCGCCTGTAGGACGATGTACATACAGTGCGATGTACCAAACCGCTTTTCAAGGCACGAAAATGATAAGGAGCATTTATGTGAAAAGGTTGGATATTATGCTACTTAGTAAGTTGGTGTTAATTGCCGTAATAGGTTTTCTCTCTACTTTTCATATTGTGGTACCCCTTATGCCGAAAGGCTCTGAAATTTACATTCCCGACGAGTGTATTCATCAATGAAAACGAAGGAGGCAGGGTGATTCCCTTTTTCAGTCCCGCCGATTGTTTCGCCGCATGTTATGCTCATAGCTGCCGGTCGGCGAATCTGATTTCAAGCGGTCAGTGTTTTTCAATTTTGACTATGGCTTTTCTTCTGTGCGCTTTCAATCTATTTGTATTCCATTACCCTTCAGAGTAGTACGGACCTTCCTGAGGTCTGCGGGAGGACATGACACGTTCGACTTTGTAATAAAAAATCGCGGTACTCTATAAACGCGTCGTCAGCATATCGGGAAAAGGACCGAGGAAAAGGAGGAAAAGGAATAAATCAAATATTTGATCCCTTGCATTACTCATCTTTTACAACTAGCATGAGCGGATGAATGATCTAACTCAAGCAAGATATGGATCTCACATGTTGTGATGAATATGTGCGCATTAAATTTACAAACAACCTTAGATAGAAATGCGAGTGAGTGATGCATAATGAAGTTTCTCTAAGACAGCCATTCAATCGCTTTTGCCATCTTTTTAGATGTTGAAGACAAGTATGGTAGGCTGTGTAGACTCATCTCTCAATATTATTCGAAGGCACTATGCCTTTACTACAGGAAACAGCAGCACAAAAAGGACAAGAACAGATCTGAACAATATTCCATTCTCCGTAATCTGTATCATCTGTCATCATCGATTTTCTCTAGCAGGTGCTAGTAGTCTACCCAGTCGTCTTTGTCGCGCACATAGTAGTCAACAGGACCTCTCACCGCTCGAAGAGACGAAGAATATCGTTTTTTCTCGTTCAGAGCTTCGGTGAAAAAGACGGACCATCTTTCTGGCAGCTGTCCTGGTGTTCGCTTGACGTCCCTAAAGATGGAGTTAGTAATTGTGCTGACTCAGTGGTCATTATATTATTCCATGACGTGCCTTCCTTAGAGTAAGCAATGGCGACCTTGATTTTCGTTCGTTGATGGAGCTCGGAACTCTGGGCGTTGCTCTGCACTTGCGCATCTGGACACTTTGATCACTTCTACTCCGGCGCTAAATTGTCCAGGTCTTTGAGGCGTATATCAAAGCGGGAAAGGCCGCAATATAAAAAAGGTAAGCGCGGTGCTGTATGTTTTTTGCCTCTTCTGTTGCCTTCTATTCAATCCCATTCTATTGAATCCCACCCGTACGACTGAACACCCGTATCGCCGTAAGAATTCAAAAATTCATGCGAATACCGCGAACTCGCGTCTTTTTCGTCTTTTCTCCGTAAATCGCGTCAGAATAGAGTAATCGAGGAGCTAACAGTATTGGTAAACCAGCTCGTCGAGCTCTACGAGCAGATATCCTAATGTATTGAAAATGCCCTATATCGGATGGCGCCATGCGCTTGAGTTCCATCCGAAAAGTAATAATTGCATGTACATGAAGTGCACGCTTTAGGGTTTGTAGGGGCTGATTGGTCCCTGAAGATCATGTGTTCAGAATTCGCTTTGGATTGCGCCACGTACTCGACTTTACTCAGTACAATGTAAAAATCATTGGTCGGTTATGTTCAGTCTCCATCGTTCATTTTTACTGTGGAGGCTGTAGATACCTGCATTAACAGTCTCTGCCCTCACTCCCCTCCTTACAGGCTCCATTGAGAATATGGCATCAATTTACGGCAAAATAACTAAATTTCTTTGACATTCTCCAAACTTTGAAGGGATTTTCCTCCAAGATCTGAGGAGGTGGTGTGGAGGCGCTGTAATATCGTAGACTACTCTTTGTTCTCTGCAAAACTATTATGGTACACCTCATCACAGATCAAGATTTCTCCCTTGATATCTCCTTAGATAAGTTGCACACTAGTATATTCCCCGTCAAAATGCCATTAAATGACACGTGAGTGAACCCGTGATGGAACCCCTCCTTCTTAACCATTTTCTGCCCTATGCCTGGCCTGAGCGGTCCCTTGCTGGGCCTATTTGGATACGCATGTGGCCGGGTACCGTAGTGGTGCGGGGTTCGAATGGTGATTTGCGGGCTTCGACTCGCGAGCGGCGATGTCCCGTATTGGTGGGAACTGAAGGCAGTTTTGATGAATGGCTACTTAAAATGGGGTCTGGATAAGCAGGTGGGTGGGTGTTGTGGTGGCGGGAAGTGGAGGTTGGTTCCAATGATGCTTATTCGAGTGGGTGGTGAGATCTGCATAGACGGAATACTACAGTGGCGGGAATGTGGGGTCACATGAATGTTGTCAACCGCGTGTGGAGTAACTCAGCGTTTTTGTCGTTTTCTCTGCTTCATCTTCAATAGGCATCTCCTATGCAGTAAGATAAAGCGCAGAGCCATCCCTCACTGCTTACAACCGCGATACAAATTGTTGGTTTCAGAGTGATTCGTTGGTGCTGCAGACCTTCGAATTATATTGTTCTTCTCTGGGTTTACTGACGTAAAGATAAGTTTAAAATACTGAAAAACCTGAGTTTCCCGCAATACCACACTGTTTCTGCAACGAAAATAAGGCTTTCATCCTCAAGGGCATACAACTGACATGTCAATAACAATCCTTGGCTGTCTACACATCACACTTATCCCTCAATTCCCACTCCTTTATATCCTAATATCAATTTGAATGGTCTTCTTTTCTAATCCATGCTCGGCTCGTGTACCCGTTCACATGTCCACTCCTAAAAAGCGCTAAGGAGGGGAGTACAGACAGCGAGCGGACACCCCCTCTTTCCGCTGGCAGACACGAAATGCAGTGACTGCTTCTTCGTCTGAATCTCTCAGCGGGAGGGATTTTGGTTGGCAACGTTCCTGTAACCGGAAAGTGGGGCATTTTGAATGGGAGTTTTGGGGCTATCTGAAGGGGCCGGGCTCGGGAAGGTGGGGTCATTTGAGTTTTATTCCCACGGCCCCACTCGCTCCCCAATTCTAATCCCTCGCCCTTTATCCCTACAGTACCTCGCCTTCTGCAGACTCATTCGAACTAGCGCACCTTCTCACCGCCGCCCCTTCAGACAGACCCCACACTCCCATTCACACTGCCCCACTTTCCCGCCACTGCAGTATCCCGTCCCCTGCAGATCTTACCACCCACCCAAACAATCATCAATAAAACCAACCCCCCCCTTTTTCTCGCCACTTCAGTACCCCGCCACCTGCGAATCGAACATCTGAAAAACCCATTAAAATAATTATTACTCAAAAGCTCCCAACTTCTTGCCACCGTAGTACCCGCCCACCCGCGTATCTAGATCCTTTAAGTAGTCATTTATCAAAACTGCCTTCAGTTCCCACCAATACGGGACACCGCCGCTCACGAGTCGAAGACCTCACTACAGTACCCGGCCACATGCGTATCCAAACAGGCCCAGCAAGAGATCGCTCAGGCCAGGGATAGGGCAGAAAATGGTTAAGAAGGGAGGGTTCCATCACGGGTTTACCCATATAAGATTCGATGGCATTTTTCACGGGGAATCCAACAGTGTGCAACTCATCTGCAAAAAGGCCAATGTAAGAGGAAAAAACTTAGTTTAATGATTTGGGCCTGCCGAAGTTCGATGTTTGGAGCCATATCAAGGGAGAAATCCTGTTCTATGATGAGGTGTACCATAATAGTCTCGCAGAGAACAAAGAGTTGGCTGATGACTGCCTGTAGCTCGTGCCATCCTTGCGTATCAGCTCGAGAGTCTGCGGAGAGGGACTTTTCTTAGCAAAATGTAGACTATCTGCTTTTTTAGCACTATCGTGGATTGACAAACCGTTTGTAATCTTCCTCGATGTTGTTGATAACAGAATCTTCAATGAAATCGCAATAAAATATTCCAGTTGATGACATTCTTGCTGCCTCGTCCCGTGATCTCCTGAAAACATTATATAGCTCGGAGGAGACGATAGTTCGATACGCATAGAACTTCGGAAGAACAACGACGTCTGCCAGGCAAAACTTGAGAATAGCTATGATATAGTCTGCTTCATTTTTGATCTGTCCAACAGATTACTTCCCAGCACATCGCGAATGAGAGGCCTCATGGAATGCGATT